TCTCTTCAGTATCTACCAATCCTGAAGACCTGGACTGACACAGAGGGGCTTTCACAAAGGGCTCCAACAGCAAAGACTGTGAGGATGGCGCAGAACCAAGAAACATTTCGTTCTGTTGTGCCCTAGGTCCTCAGGAGTCAGAAGTCATCCACAACAACAACAAGGTCCACTTTGGTAACCGTAAGTCTCAGAAGAAATACAATTGGAATGTTCCTTAGATGTGAGGATGGCGCAACTTCAGCTCCTTGTCCTTGGGCATGCCATGAACAGAGATCAGTTGCTAGGTCAAGCAGAGGGCCAACAAGAAGCGGGAAAACCATAGAAGAAGGACCAGGACAGTGGCCCAAACAACCAATGCAAACTCAGCAATGATCATGGAGCTGACCCAGGACCAGGCGATGGTTCACTGTGACGTCCATGCTGATCAGAACCCAGGACCAGGAGACGGTTCACTGTGTCATCCACATATATCAGGATCCAGAGCCAGACGATGGCTCACTGCATCATCCACATTTATCAGGACAAAGGACCAGACGATGGTTCACTGTGACATCCACGCTTATCAGGACAAAGGACCAGGAGACGGTTCACTGTGTCGTCCACGTTTATCAGGACAAAGGACCAGGAGACGGTTCACTGTGACATCCACGTTTATCAGGAGGCCATGAGGTGGAGCCAATTTGAGGCAACAGTGTTTCCCTTTTAAAGCAAACGCTGGCCTAGAGACTCCACAAGTACAAAACCCTTCAGATCATTCAACGTCAGTGTCCCATGAAGGGAGGTTGTGGCTTCCCTACTGGAGAGATAAGGAAATGTGTCCGGGATTAAATAGTTAGAAACCTCAAGTCCTGTTCTGTCACTTACTAGATGGGTGGTCCTAGGTAAACCCCTTTACCTGCCTACGGACCAGAGTCATCAACTCTCCAACACTGGAAATCATCCACCCAACCAGAGGTGTTACTGGTGTTAGGGGCCGTCGAGCTGGTTCCAACTCCTACTCACCCTAAAAGGCAGAGTCGAACTGCCCCATCGGGTTTCCAAGGCAGATGGCTGAGTCTGTCTCCTGCAGAGTGGCTGGTGGGTTTGAACCACCAACCTTTCAGTTAGCAGTCAAACACCTAACCACTGTGCCACTAAGGAGGGCTCCAGAGGTGTTACTATAAAGACCAATTAAGGTGTCTGAGAGAAGCTGTAAATGTTTGGAATGCTACGAAAACGTAAGGTGTCATACAAAAATAAGGTTTCACAGTTTTATTATCACTGAGACGACTCTAGGAACCCTGGTGGCACCGCAGTTAAAGTGCTTGGCTGCTAACTGATAAGCTGGCTGCTCAAACCCAGCGATCACTTCATCTGCCTCTTCCCTTCCTTGTCTACAATCAGTATTCCAATCGGATCAAGCACATTTAGCTACTTAGGGTTCATCAACCCTATCTTGCTCATTTCCCATCCTTGCATGTGTCTGTCCATCCTTGCATGCATCTGTCCCACCTTCCATCTGTCTGAGAAGCATTTCCTCATTTAGCTCACTTGGGAAACTTCTCTCCATGCTTCAGAAATGGATTAAAGTGTCACCTCCATTGGGAAGCACATCTGTGGCCCTGCCAGAGCCTAGGATTTTGTCTTCTGTGCTCAGTCAGCTCCGATCTTCTCTTTAGCTTGGTGTTCACCCAACATTAATTACATCATATCTGTTTACGGTCTCTTCTCCCCACAAGCCCAGATTGCCTCATACAGGAGCTCTGCCTTATCCCCACCAGCCATCTGTCAGTTGGTTGTACTGTGGTGGCTTGCATGTTGCCATGATACTGGAAGTGATACCACTGGTATTTCAGATACCAGCAGGGCCACCCATGGTGGACAAGTTACAATGAAGCTTCCAGATTAAGACATCCTAGAATGAAACACCTAGCGATCTGTTTCTGAAAACTAGCTGATGAAAACCTTTTAGAACACTACAGAATATATCCAACAAAGGGCTGTGAGGTGAGCACCTGAGGATACAAGGCACTCAAAATACAGAGTGACCGTTAGAAGTCACTCTGGATTGTTGTTGTTGTTGTTGTTGTTAGGTGTCATCGAGTCAGCACCGACTCATAATGACCCTATGCACAACAGAACGAAACACTGCCTGATCCTGGGCCAACCTCACAATTGTTGCCACGCTTGAGCTCATCAATGCTGCCACTTGGCCAATCCATCTCGTTGAGGGTCTTTCTCTTTTTCTCTGACCCTCTACCTTACCAAACAGGATATCCCTCTCCAGTGACTGGATCCTCCGGACGATATGTCCGAAGTATGACAGACGAAGTTCGGTCATCCTGGCCTTCAAGGAGCACTCTGACTGTACTTCTTCCAACACAGAACTGTTGGTTCTTTGGGAAGTTCATGGCACTTTCAATATTCTCCTCCAACACCATAACTCAAATGAATCAATTCTTCTAGGGTCTTCCTTATTCACTGTCCAGCTTTCACATGCGTATGAGGTTACTGAAAACACCATGGCCTGGGTCAGGCGCACCTTAGTCCTCAAGCTGACATCTTTGCTCTTCAATACTTTAAAAAGTTCCTGTGCAGCAGATTTGCCCAACGCAATACGTCATCTGATCTCTTGACTGCTGCTTCCGCGAGTGTTGATAGTTGATCCAAGAAGAATGAAGTCCTTGACAACTTCAATCTTTTCTCCATTGATAAGAATGTTGTTTATTGGTCCAGTGGTGAGGATTTTTGTTTTCTTTACATCGAGATGCAATCCATACCGAAGGCTGTGCTCTTTGATCTTCATCAGTAAATGTTTGAAGTCCTCTTCACTTTCAGCAAGCAAGGTTGTATCATCTGCATATCTCCAATCCTGATGCCATGTTTTTCTTCATATAACCCAAAGATTATTTGCTCAGCATACAAGCTGAATAAGTCACTCTGGATAGAGCAGCCGAAAATGTGGACTAAAACTCAAAGTTATTTAAAAAAAAAGACCAGATTTCCTGGTCAGAAAGAGACTGGAGGAACTTGAGAGTATGGCCTTCAAGCACCCTCAGGTCTGGAAGGGAACTCACCCTCATGACCCAATGTTCAGCCAAGCAGTAGATAGGTATATGGGGGGACAACACTCGTAAGGTATGCTCACCATGGAACGATTTTGACATGAATCGGCGGTCAACCAGTTGAACACCTTTTGATTACCGTTGGTCAATTAGCTGTCCAATCGTTCAAAATACAGGGAGCAGCATTTGCCTAGGGACAGAGTTGAGAAGGCCTGGAAAGGTGGGTGGAATGGAAACAGGAAGCACAGGGAGGAAGCGGGAGAAGTGTTGTTGCAGGGAGGGGGTCGTAGTCACTGAGATCCAGCAAAGTGTATGATTTGTTGACTGTAAAGCAGATGATTGTGTCTGTAAACAATTCACAAGAAAAAGTTTTTAAATAGAAAAATGCACAGTGGTTTCAACAATGGGTTCAACTACACTAACAGTTGTGAAGATGGCACAAAACGGGGCAACGTCCCATTCTCATGTCCCTGGCAGTGTCCCCATGAGTCGGAGTGGGCACGAAGCTCCTAACAATATGTCTTAGCCATCTCCTTTCCTAAGTGCCAGGCAGGGTCCCATGCATAGGTGTTCCATTCTGACTACTGAGTGGTGAATGAATGTTTAACAGAACAAATGAATGAAGGAGATATCCCCAGTGTCCGCTCTCACGTCCCCGCTCTCACATCTTTGAAAGTATAATGGGATTGAGAAGTCTTACTCCTCTAAGCCTTCTAGCATGGTCCCGGGGTCCTCAGAAGACAGAATGTCCACCATCTGGTCACTGAGCGCAAGATCCTCATTCACACCATCGGCCAAGATGAACTGAGAGTGTTCCAGCTTGTTGTCATGGTGCTGAACCTTCAGGAGAATTCCAGAAACAACCAAATTAGCACTTCTTCGTCTGACGGCCACGTGAGGGAAGGTGGGGGATCTGGAGTTACAAAGCCTGCTGGGCCCCACCACTGGAGAGCAGCTTCAACTCAGGCAAGCCACTGCCCTTTCCCGAGCCTCCATTTCCTCATCAGAGAACTGGGCTTACAATCCCTATAGCCCTATACAGGGGTGTTGTGTGGCTAAAATGAAGCAGTGTATGGAAAGGGCCTTTGTAACCTGTTTCACCGCCACCGCCACCATCTTTATCAACCTGACAGGAAACGCTCACCACCAACATGGCAGAACTCAGCACCATGGGTCTGGCCCGTGTTGAATTCTGAGACGGAAAGGACATGATAGGTTGTGAACGCCAGCTCTTTGAGTGTATGTTGTTGTTGTTGTTGTTGTTGTTGTTGTTGTAAAGTGCCATAGAGTTGGTTCTGACTCCTAGCAACCCTGTATTGAGTTTACGAGGAGTGGCTGGTGGGTTTGAACTTCTGACGTTGTGGTTAGCAGTCCAATGCTTATCCTACAACACCACACCAGGAGATGACAGATATGTTCGGCCTCCAATAATATTAGTTCTGCAGACATGGACAGTACCCAGGACTGACCTATAAGAATTCCTTTCTTCCTGCTGGCTCTGTATGTTGCCTCATAATTCTGAGGCTCTGTATGTTACCTGCTTAAGCTATTCCAACAACCAGGTAAGTGTTCTTGCCCCAATTTGCAAATAGGGAAACTGAGGCTCAGAGAGGTGTAATAATATCCACTGTGTAATAATATGACACTGTAAGATAAGGACTGGACAGTTAACCACAAGGTTGGCAGTTCAAATCCATCAGTCCCTGAGAAACCCTACATAGGGTCACTATGAGTCAGAACCAACTCATCAGAACTTAACAACCACAAGCATATCGCATAGGTGTCCTAATGTGGCACTATAGGATAAGCACTGGACTACTAACCATAAGGGTCTGCGGTTCAAAGCTACCTGACGCTCATGGGAAGGCCTATACAAGGTTGTTATGAGTCAGTACCAACGCAACAGCACTTAGCAATACAAGGTCACATAAAGGAGTCCTGTGGTGCAGTAATTAAGAGTTCGGCTAACAGAAAGGTTGGCGGTTCAAACTCAGCTGGTGTCTATGCGGGAGAAAGACTCCCTGTTGGGGCAGCGCTACTCATCAGCTGGGATGGCTGTGAGGCAGGACTGACTCCATGCTACTCAACAACCACAAAGTTCTCAAGAGCCAGGTTGGTGTTTGACCCCAAGTCACTCTCAGTCTGAAGGCTGTGGTCTCAGCTTGACATGGTACCTTAGCTCTCTGGTTGCTATCACGATGAGCAGAAAAATCAAGAAAGATGGGCAAAAGCGTTCATTCTGGGGTGGAGGGGGAAAAAATAGTGCAAGAGTCTATCAGATCCTAAATCTATTCACCCTTTGCTTATCTCTCCGCATAGTCACTGCCAGCCTTTAACCCCCGGGAGCAGTTTGTTCTTTTCTGGTGGAGAAGAGCTTGGGGAGAGTCCGTAGAAGGTCTGATTAGGTGAGCTGTGTTCCTTCTCCTCATTTTGGCCTGCCAAGGAGCTCACGGCTGACATCACTTTAGAACGACGGCCCTCTTCTCCCTTCTCCAGGAAGCAACAACGGAATAAACAAGTGGTCCTAGGCTGGGAGGGGCTTCCAGCACTCCAGAGAGTGGGGGTCTCAGAAGTCCACGTCCCAGGCTAAGCTAGGCCACTGTAAGTAAGTTTTCTAACCTCACAGGTCTCGGTTTCTTTAATATACTATGAGGGAGAAGGATGGTAGCTACACCTTGGGATGTAGTGCACCTGAAGACACCAATGACCAGAGCCTCCAATGGCCCTGCAGGGACACATCAAGTGTTGGAAGGGACCACATTCTTGTCAAATGTGCCCACTACCAGTGTGCCTGTGGTCAGCATCAGACAGCTCACCTCCCTCTGTGAACTGCCACCTTCCTCTCCTTCCTCTGCCCCTCTGTAAGAATGACCTTGGGGCTTCAGACCTCCTCGTCCAATTTCAGGAAGAAGAAGGAGAAATGATCAAGGCCAGCATGAGCCCAAGGCTGGTCCCGTGAGTGAGGAGGGCGTCAGACATAGCTCCAGCCTCCAACCTTTTCACCGATTCTGTCCCTCCCACGGCACTCGCTACTCTGTTGGGTTGGATGAGATATTACCATGGCCACACGGTATGGACCTCACAGATCACACTCATAGCTATAGGGTTAATAGGGGAAGTAAGTTATTACTCAGGGACAGTTTAAAAAAAGAGAGAGAGAGAAAGACGCTCAACACGGTGACAGTGATACAGTGGCTACAACAATGGGCTCAAATGTTAAGAGTTGTGAAGACGCACAGAACCGGTCAGTGTTTCATTCATAGTACACACGGCTGAGCTGGAAGCCTTTCGACAACACCTAATGACAACAATGACAACTTGGGATCAGCAGGATACAACACAGGGTCAGGACGAGAAAGTGTGGTGTGGTGAATTACCTGATGTGGCTCTTCAAGCCATAGTCTTTGTTGTTGCTGTTGCTAAGTTAAGTGCCATCAAGTCGGTTCCGAGTCAGGCGATCCCGTGTGGCTGTGTGGTTGATGGATTTGAACCACTGCCTTGTGGCTAGCAATCCAATGTTTATTCTACAGCACCACACCAGAACTCTATGCTCTTTGTAATTTCTGCCAAATGACTAGGGTTTTGTTATTAGTGTTAAGTGCTGTTAAGTCTGTTCTGACCCACAGTGACTCTACATGCAACAGAATGAAACGCGGCATGGACCTGAGTCAACCTCACAATTGTTGCTGCGCCTGAGTCCCTCGCTTCCGCCACCGTGCCAATCCATCTCGTTGGGGGCCGTCCTCTTTTTCTCCGACGCTCCCTTCATTGCTGTTGTTAGATGCCATCAAGTAGGTAATGACCCACAACAACCCAAAATAAACAACAAAATGAAACATTGCCCAGTCCTGGACCGATCTCACAGGCGTCGCTATGCCTGAGCCCCTCGCTTCTGCCACTGTGCCATCTAATTGGGGGTCTTCCTCTTTTGCTCCAGCCTTCCACTTCACCAAACATGATATCCTTCTCTAGTGACTGGTCCCTCCAGTTTGGCCATCCTGGCTTCTAAGGAGCACTGTGGCTGTACTTCTTATAACACAAATCTATTTCTTCTTTTGGCAGTCCATGATACTTTCAATATTCTCCTCCAACATCATAACTCAAATGCATCAATTCTTCTACGGGCTTCCTTATTCACTGTTCAACTTCCCCATGCATATGAGGTTACTGAAAATACTATGGCTTGGGTCAGGTGCACCTTAGTCCTCAAACTGAAATATTTTCTCTTCAACACTTTAAATAGGTCTTGTGCAACAGATTTGCCTAATGCAATATGTCGTTTGATTTCCAGACTGCTGCTTCCGTGAGTGTTGGCTTTCCAAGCAAAAATGAAGTCTTTGACAATTTCAATCTTTTCTCCATTTATATGGATGTTATTATTAGTCCAGTGGTGAGGACATTTAAATGATTATTTTTTGTTTTGTGTGTGTGTGTGTACATAAAACATTTTTGCTTTGCTCATTTGTGAAATATAAGACATAAATGGGGAGACCCAGGGAGGAAGTGGGATAACTGTTGTTGCAGGGAGGGGACTGTAATCATTGAGATGAAATAAAGTGTATAATTTGTTGAATGTAAAGCTGATGCTCTTGTCTGTAAACCTTCATTCAATTCACAATAAAAAGTTACGGGGGATAGTAAATAAAATGGCATATTGCATTAGGCAAATCTGCTGCACAAAGCCCCTTTAAAGTGTTCAAGAGCAAAGATGTCACTTTGAGGACTGAGGTTCGCCTGTCCCAAGAATGGTATTTTTAATAACCTCATATGCATTTGAAAGTTGGACAGTGAATAAGGAAGACTTTAGACGAATTGATGCATTTGAGTTATGGTGTTGGAGGAGAATATTACAAGTACCATGGACTGCCTATAGAACAAACAGATCTGTGTTGGAAGAAGTACAGCCAGAATGCTCATTAAAAGCCACGGTGGCCAGACTTTGTCTCTCATACTTTAGACATGTTGTGAGGCGGGACCAGTCCCTGGAGAAGGACATTATGTTTGGTAAAGTGGAGGCTCAGTGAAAAAGAGGAAGACCTCCAACGAGATGGCTTGGTACAGTGGCAGCAACAAAGGGTTCAAGCATGGCAATAACTGTGAGGTTGGTGCAGGACTGGGTAGTGTTTCAATCGGTTGTGCATGAGGTCGCTATGAGTCAGTACCAACTCAACAGCACCTAACAATAACAACAGAAATACACAGGTGACCACACACATGTGATGCTCGGTGGTTCAGCAGGTGGGCTGCAGGTGCTCTCAGCATTGGATGCAGATTACAACCATGCAGAGAGCTTCTAAAAGTACTAATGTTGTGGGCCCCTCCCAGGATGATCACCCCAGAATCTCTGGTGGTGCAGCCTGGCATCAGTGCTTGTGAACATCTCCCTAGCTGGTTTCCTGATGCAGATCTAGGATTGAGAACCACTGAACCAGGGGGAAATTTTCCATCTCAACACAGCACCAAACAAACGTCCTGCAGGAAAGAAAATTCGTATGGAAACTCACCCGATGTCTGCGAAACATGTTTCCCTTTAAACACTGATATCGGACCAGGAAGAAAAGCATGGTCCAGGTCAGGACAAGAGTGACCATGAAGGCGATAAAGAATCCAGCTGCATGGAGTCCATGGTTCGGTAGAACCTACAAGGACAAGAGACAGAGAAGGGTCTGCTTGTGATTTCAAGTCACATCGTCCAAGTCAAACAAATGACCATCAGTTCTATCAGGGCAGGAACTGCCTTTGCAGTTGGCACAGCCAGCCTGGTTTGCAGCCCAGCTCCACCCACTACTGGCTATGAAACGTGAGGAAGTGGCTGGAGCCCACTGCGCTTGAGCCTCCTTACAGCAAGGCTTCCACACAGCAAGTTTCCAACATGAGAGAAGCCCTTCAGACAGCCGGTGCATGGCAGCTTGCACTTTCTAGGTCCCTGGAGCCTCATACCCAGCACAAAGTAAACACTGAAGAAATGTTTCAATCCCCAAGAAGATACAGCACCCCGAGGCAGCACTGGGAACCCAGGAAATTTTCCCAGAGATGTGCAGCAGAATTTGCCAGAGGAAGAGCTGACAATGGGCTGTATCCCATCATTCTCTGCCCTCCCTCAGTCAGAGTCTGGCCTGCCCTGCCCAGCGGAAAGACTCTGGATTCTCAGAGCCTAGGAGAATGGACGTGGCTGGGGAACCTTACAAAAACAGGGAGAAGGCCAGGTATACTGGGCAAACATGCAAACGGTCAGGATGGGTTTAACATGCCTAGTCTGTTTCTTTCCCAGCGACAACCTGGGGCTGATGTGAATCCATCAACAGCCCAGGAGGTAAAGACATCAAATAGCATTATGAGGAGCAATGAGTTCCAGACACTTCACATTCCACCTTCCGCCTTTTCATAAGACCAGCCGGCTCATGGAGACCCCCGCGTGTGTCAAGAGTAGAATTATGATGGGTTTTTTGGAAGCTAATTGCCAGACCTTTCTTCCAAAGCACCTGGGCATTAGCCTTCTGGTTAGCAGTAAAATGCAGTATCCCTTTGCACCATCCAAGGACTCCAACAAGCAAACCAGGTGCCATTGGGTTGATTCTGACTCATGGTGACCCTGTGTGTTTCATTGAAACAAGGTGCCTCAGTATGGATTTGAACCATCAACCTTTCGGTTAGCGGAGTGCTTAACCATATGCACCATACAGAGACTAAGATAATGATGCCAACAGAGACAGTAGCAGCTCACGCTCATTCTCAAATCCGAGTTACATCTGAACCACCTTGGAGAGTTTATGAAAACACAGATTCAGGAATCCTTAGTTCTAACAAGTCAATATACCTCACTCAGCTCTCCCCAAGACCCACTGAACACTGGATTTCCAATCCTACAGATTACCTTGAGTATGTGAGTTACCTCTGAAAACCCCAACCTCGGCATCTGTGAAACAGGCACACAGCCATTACCTCACAGCGGGAAGATGGACAGCAACTCAAGCAAGCAAATGGTTAAGTTCTCCACGACTAACTGAAACGTTGGTTGTTTAAACCCACCCAGAGGAGCCACGGAAGAAAAGGCTGGCAATCTGATCTTGAAAAGTCACAGTCTTAAAAACCTATAGAATAGGGTTGATACGAATTAGAGCCAATTGGGAGGGCACCTAACAACAAGACAAGCCCAAGTTTCTTTGACAATATTTTCTTCCTTATTTACGTGAACTCTACATACAGCCTAGAAATATTTAGCGCAATAAAATTTAAATCTTGATTTCGTAGCCGTCTTGCCAACAGTGGCCCCATGATCCCACTTTGTCTAATGAAATCAGTATACGAATCTTTCCCTCCATTTTACTGCCTGGAAAGGGTGACAGGTCTGGAAATGCAGTGACTTTATCTCTGAGGATGGTGCAACAGTAGACAGAAAGCATGAGGTTCTTTAATGCTTCTACTTAGCCACTGCACTATGTTGAGACTGCTTTTCCAGGTGTTTTATCTAGTGAAATAAATAAAGTTACTGTTCAAGTAAAAAGAAAAAAAAAAACCACTATAGATCAGTTCTACTCATCACACCGCCGTGAATCGAAAAGGACTCCACGGCACCAACAACCTGAGTATCAAACTAACAAACTGAGAGAGAGCTTAGTGCAAAGTTTAGCTCATATATTCATTCAACAAGTATTTATATTGTTGGATATACACCAGGACATGTGTTAGACACGAATCAGAAGGTAGCTCGTTATTTTGTGTGTGGTTATACCCTGTAAGTAGTGTTGACTGGGTCTTGGGCTGACTCTCATTTCATGAATAAGGGCCTCGACTCCTGGTGTGGCATTGTAGGATCAGCACTAGACTGTGAATTGCAAGGTCAGCAGTTCAAACTCATTGGCTGCTCCTTGGAAACCCTATACAGGGTCACTATCCTTTGGAACCGACTCGATGGCACTTAACAACAACAACAGGAGAAAAATTTGAGGATGTTCTCAAGAGGAACGAATCCCTGGAGAAGGGCATGATGCTTGGTAAAGCAGCTACACTAATCAAGTGCCATCAAGTCAGCGCTAACCACTTCTGAGTTATAAACAGAACATCGGCCCACAGACATGCAGAGGAGGAAAACAGTATGGAAGCAGACAGCAATGGCAGATCAGCTGTAAGACTAGGAACTCCAAAGATTGCTGGCAACTACTAGAAGTCTGGTGTGGCGCTTTAGGAAAAGCATTGGACTGCTAAACACAAGGTCGGCAGTTCAAGCCTACCAGTTACTCCTTGAAAACCCTTTACAGGGTCGCTATGAATCGGAACCAACTAGATGGCACTTCACAACAACACTAGAAGCTGAAACAAACAAGAAAGCACCTTCCCCTAGAGCCATGCCCTGAATTCGGGCTTCTGGTTTTCTGAACTGTGAGGAAATAAAGGTCCCGTCTTTAAAGTCTCCAGTTTCTGGTATTTTGGGTAGGACAGGTAACTCAGACACACAGTAACAAAAGCTCTATGCGGTGGCCCATCCATCACCAGCAACGGGATCTAAGACTATAAATCTGGTCTAAGACAGCTTTATGGCTTTTTATAATGCTTGTGATTTTTTGGAGTACTTTAACCAACAGTTTCTTCTCAGAAATGAAAGGAAAATCGGTCTCTATATCCATTAGAAAAGGTGTAAGTCTCCCGGCGTGAAAATGAAGGAACAGAATTTCAAGTGATCTTGAGTTCTGTGCTCTCAAGCGCTGCTCTGACTTGTAAAGGTTAGGGTTCACAGTCAACTTGAATAGGTTAAGACTCCCAGAGGGTTAGCAGTTGGGATGTGTTTATTCCCATGGTGGTGAAACCTAATACAGGCATAGTTAACTCTATGATGAGCAATGATGAGCAGCCAATCAATTAAAAGGATGCTTCCTTGGGGGTGTGGCCTGCTCCCACTATAATGGACACTCAGAAAAGACTCTCTCTCTTCCACTGAAGGTCTGGGACTCTACAGTTGTAAGCCATATCCTTGATTGTAATCTTCTCTTTATATGGTGGTGGTGGTGGTTATGTGCCGTGGAGTCGGTTCCCCCTCACAGCAACCCTGTACAGGGTTTCTGAGGCTGTAAATCTTTACAGGAGCAGAAAACCTCACCTTTCTCCCATGTAAGAGCTGGTAGAGGTTCGCAGCCTGACTCATAACCACTATGCAACCAGAGCTCCTTTATATACACACACACACACACACACACACACATACACACATACACATTTCACTGGTTTTACTTCTCTAGAAAACCCAGCCTAAAACATGTGGTGCCAAGATTGGGGTTCTAGGGGGAAAAAAATCACCAAGATGACTTCTCTAAATTGGACCAGCTAATTTTAAAGGCACTGAGACAGAGTGGAAACAGGTCTGTCTCTACTTCATAGCAATCAGCCTTGGGCAGATTTTGAATTTGACTCTTTCCCCCTTTGTGGAGTCAGAGGAAGTCAGACCTGGCCTGCACAGGTTTGGTTCGGTTTTCACCAGTTGGCATCAGGAGCAGGATTCACTGCAATGGTTCTAGACTTATGGAAGCATGAGGTTTTGTAAAAGAAAGAACCAAGGGGCCTGGGAAGTGAAACTATTTTAGATTTTTGTTACTTTCATGGATGAAAGGACCATAGTGGATAAGATAGTTCAGGGAACAGGGGAGCAGCAGATTCTGAAGTTACTGAAATCAAATGTCATGCTGGTTGACCTAGATGGCTAATAGGGCACCAGAGTCCTCTGGAATCTACCCTGACAGAGACACAAGAGCATAATGTGCATGAACGGGGTTAGTGCAAGGAGGAAGACAAAATTGAATTTGAGTGTTTGGAAAAAGTTTCTGTGTTTGATTGCCTTTTGGATATTGGTTTCTCCTGCCTATTATTGTAAGATAGACCTACAAGTGTAATGTTGTTGTTGTTAAGTGCTGTCGAGTGGATTCCGACCCATGGCATGCCTGTACACGGCTTCCAAGGAGTAGCTGGTGAGCTTGAACCACCGGTCTTGCAGTTCAAACACTTTGCAGTCTGACACATTAGCCCACAGCGCCACACCAGGACTCCACAAGTGTGACAGAAATGAATATTGGAAAGCGTGATAACAGAGAGTTTGTAAGCCCACCTTCCATCTATACTATTGGATTTGCTATAAGGGGAGTTAGAATTTACTCAGAGAAACAGGCTTCTTTGTTAAGCCTTTGTAGAATATGGGGATTTAGGTGGACTCCTGAGTCCCACCCAGAACCTTCAGAATTGGGACATTTGCATTTGAAAAGACATGCAGACCCACCCAGAACTGCTGGGAGAACTAAAGATTTCTGACTGAAAGAAAGCAGAGGAAAAAGCAAACAGTCGATTTGAGTTTTGGAGGCATCAAGTCAAGGAAAGTCATCCCATGAAAGAAAATCCCCTTTTCCAGGACTGAAAATTAAAAGGAACCAGCTGGCCATATGCTTGCTGGTGACCACCTGCTTCTACATGCAAGTGGAATTGGGGGAAATGCAGCAACGAAGACTGAGTTTGGATGTGTTCTATTAGCACCTGCTAACCTTGAGACATTAACAACCTGTGATATGCAGATGATACAACCTTGCTTGCTGAAAGTGAAGAGGACTTGAAACATTTACTAATGAAGATCAAGGTACACAGCCTTCGGTATGGATTGCAT